CAGTCACAATGTCACGCAAGAGGGTCACTAAAATGGTCATCACTGTTGCTGTTATCTATGCAATTTGTTGGCTTCCAAACCTCATAGTTTTTAACTTTAAGAACTATTTGAATAACATTTCCTTTTTGGATCTTCTTTACATGATTTCGCACATCTTCCTGCTCGTAAACTCCACAGTGAATCCATTTGTTTACAGTATTCAAAGTCGACGCTTCAGAAAAGCTATGTTGGGATCCATGTTCTTTTGGAGATCGAGAAGAGTACTGAGTAATTCAGTGTCCATGATTTCCAACTTCAGGAAGAAGAATATGTTAAGCAACGACCGGAAAAATTCCGTAACAGCTATGAAAGGAGGCGAACTACCTATTACTTTAGATTGTTATGCGCATGACACAGTCGAGATGACACGTGAGACGCATGCACAGTCACACGACGTTAAGAAATCCCAATCAAGCAAGCGATAGTTTATGAAAGTGGGAAGTATGACATTTAAGTAAAGCAACGACAGAACATTTTAAAACGGTACTGACTGAATTCATAACAAGTGACGACGTGACACTTGGAGTCACGCAACGTATAAACAGCTATGAAAGAATCTGACGAACTTCTTTAGTGCGCATGTCTTAGGGATGCCAAACAAATGTATAAGTATAGTTTTATAAATGAGCAGGAGCGTACAAAGAGATATTTAGTCGAATTTTTTCGATTGTACGTTAAGTCATCACGGCCTCTCGAAGGAGCGTTGGTGCCATTCAACAAATGTGTTCTCATTATACTAGCATCCATTGTTAATGGCAATAAAATGGCCGCCATACTTTTGTCTTTTAACTCTCTTGGGAATGCAATCCATCAATAAAGAAAACACTTGTCTGAACTTATACTTTTTATATTAATTATGATCTCTTTGTTTTACGTTGAAGATTGTATAAAATGGCTTATTTACACGTGCAATCATGGTTTCTGGTTCAACTGATCTCATTGCGAAGTTTGCATGCTAACACAGCTCAAACTGCTTTGCATTATAGTTTTCTTATTCGACATAATACTTACCTACGAAGGTCAGTCGTGTTTTCCCCATTTGCATTCTTACGTTGACAGAACTAGAGAAGAAAAATTACTGTCATTAGTACAGCACTTTCAACCAGGACTTCCATAACTTGGCTGTGATAAGGTGGACGCTGACCACAAGTACTGCATGCAACGGTTGCATAACTAATAATAATAATAATAATAATATATTTATAACGCGCATATTTCATGTGGATATGTT